ATCATATGCTATTTATCCCAACCTAGCTATTTCTACTTCCAATACTTGCAGACGGTTTATATGCTTTCCCCTTTTCCTGTTTGGCTGCATTATAAAAGACATCTAACTACTCTATTTCTCACTTGCCCCATCCCTTAATCTGCCCAGCATAAATTAGTACTCCCTTGTAACTTTTCCTGCCAGTACAGTTTCTTAATAGTACAATACTGTTCCTCTGTACTGTTATTTTTCAACAGTTTCCTAGCATTTGGCAAAGTGTGACAGTATTGATTACTATTGCTGGATAGCAATCAACATGACCACACCTTTGTGTTTGACAGCAAACGTTTAGTTAATTCACATCTATGGGTTTTCTGGGAGTCAGCTGATCTAGGCTGAGCCCAGCTAGAGGAGTTTGATGGGAATGGCTCTGCAGGGTGGGTCTGTTCCACATGTCTCCCGTCCTCCTCCTGGGGCCAGAGGGCTAACTCAGACATGTCCTCCTCATAGCAGTAACAGAATACAAAACAAGACAATTAAAACTATATGCTTTTTTAAAAATGAGGCTCAGCAATGGTACTACAGTAACTTCCACGCTTTCTATAAACAAAACAAATCATATGGTCCAATCCAAAGTTCAGGGACAGGGAACTACACTTCTATCCTCTCACAGGGAAACCTCAGAGTCACATGGAAACCTGCATGTGTACAATACAGTAAAGGCTGAAAGGTTGAGGCTAAAAATGCATCTGCCTACTGCACTGACCGATGGATCTGAGCACTGCACAGGTTTCAGTGTGCAATTTAGTATTTTTCCTTTTTGCATTTAAGCACCAGCAAAGAGCTCTACTGCTGACATTTGCATCATCGCTGATGCTCATCTGTGATTATGAGTCCTTCAACGGCTTGAAGAACTTCACTTACAAAGTGCCTTGCTGGATGGAGATGGAGCCTGTATACAAAGAAAGGCTTAATCCCCTCCAGAAACATATCAAGATGACTGTTTAGGCCAGGATAGGGTAGGAAATGGGAGGAAAACGAGATAAAGCTTTGAGGAGTCTATTATGGCCATCTACAAAGCCCCATTCAAAAGGCAGCAGTTTGGAGAGAGCGATGAGAGACTGAGGTGGCCCTCCAGCCCCTCTGACCACTGCTTGAACAAGAAAGAGTATTACCTCAACAGCCTCATCTAGAACAGTGCTACCAGGACAGTGACCCACTTTACTAAGGGGAAAATCCTTGTCTTCCTTCTATCCTAGCAGATATTGATTGGCTCTGGCTGTGTGTCATCCCAAATACATTTTGATTTGCTGCCTGACAGCCCTTTGCACCTCACTGGGCAGATCCTAATGTCTCTCTCTCTTCCATGGAATTCTTTTTCTGGTTGTCACTGCTTGAATTTCCTTCATTATTGTTTATCAGGTCTTCTTATTTATTTACTGCACATGCTTCTTATTACCAATTCTTCTAAATTAGGTCTCCTGGATCAGTGATTGCTTTTACTATTTGCAATCTCATTAAATATTTTAATTAGTCTCACTAAGTAATAAATTAGTATTTATTAGTATATTTTGCTGTAAAATAAATTAGACATTTTTAACTCAGTGTAACTTGTGTCCATTAATGTTTTTGTTTCAAAGAAGTCACAGAAAGATGTTACTCCCATAACAATTTAGGCATTGTACTTATAACTCCATTTCTTTTGCCACAGTAAAAACTGTGATGATACTTATTTGTGCCAACTTCATCCTTTAAGATTCAGGAATCTGAATCTTTCTAGAATCTGTACATGCTCCTTCTTTATAATCCCATGTTTTTCGATCATGGAAGATTTTTTTTTTCTCAAAATGATAGTGACAGCTTTTCCCATCCACTTGCTGTTCTTCAATAACTTTGGCACTTCTTCCATCAAGAGATGTCTGAATTTCCTCTCCTTAAATCTGGGCAGGTGTAGGACTACAGCAAAAGACATGCTATGTGAGTGCACTACAAATGACAGGGGATTAAGTTTACAGGATCAGAGGCGAGAGAGCCTACAATGGTCATCCATGCACTAGAGAGACAAAATATCCAGTGGTTTCCCAGACCAAAAAGCTGGAAGCTACAGAACAAAAAGAATCAAGGATACAGCATATTATGGTTTGTGTCTAGATGTCCCCCTGCCCAAAGCCTCATGTAGTCATGGGTCTTTTTCAAAGGCAGCTGAATCTAAGTGTGTGGTTGATTGGTAGCTATGTCCACTGATTAGACTGGCACAGTCCTAATCCCAGTGGACTGCATAAAATATATGGGACAGAAAGAGACTTGTCTAGCTCTCTTGATGCTCTTGTTGTCTTCCACCAACATGAACTGTTGCCCCTCTGCCATATGCCAGCCAACTGTGGACTGAAACCTTTAAAAACTGTGGTCTAAACAAACCCTCCCTCCTTTGACTTGACTGTCGAGTATATTTTGTATCAGCAATGAGAAAAGTAACCAAGACACAGCATCAGTACAAGACCAGAGAGCTGGGAGCTCCTGGATTCACTGAGATGAGTATGCATTAAAGGCTGAAGGTACTGGAGTCTGATGTCCACAGGCAAAAGTAATAGCTAAAAACCACACCAGTTCAAGCAGAATGGAGCTTCCGAAAAAGGGGAGCAGGCTTCCTTTTCCTTACGTTTCATTCCACCCAAGCCCATCAACCCTTTGGACAATGGCACCCACAACCAGAGCAGGTCCTCCCCCCTCAGTTTGCTGGTCTGCATGCCAGTCATCTCTGAAAACACCTCACAGACACACCCAGAAATGTGTTTTATTAATCATCCAAGTGTCTCTTAATCCATCGAGTTGATATATCACAGTAGTCATAACCCCAGCAATCATGGAACTTAAACAAGATATCTCTACTATGCCTATTTAGAGCTCCTGACCCATAGAACCCACAGCATAACACTGTCACTTGCAGTAGAAGCAAACAGGAAATGTATCTAATGAACTCGATGATCTAGTTTAGATTTCTAATCACAATATTGAAAATGACACTTGAATTCTTGCTTCATATGATAAAATGTGGGGGGGAAATGAATTAAAGAATGGAATATTAACTTCTGATTTCTCTGATTCACTAAAGAAAAAGGTTTGCAGTGTTACAAAGGTTTGCAGATGTCTTATGTTCTGGGTGACTGACGGGGCTGGCGATCCGCAATGTATGCACGTTGTTCCCTGATTGTTATGCTTTGAAATTTTGTTTTATTTTATTTCTTTTTGAAATAAAATAGATTTTTTTAAAAAATGGAACATTAAGCATAAAGAAACTAAAATGTATCAGTCTCAAAAATAACATTTTTTCATGCCAGCTTTTCCAACAATAAAAATCCCTAAGTAAAGAAAAGACCCCAAGCCAAAGATTAAATCCACAGATGAACACTAAAGTCCTTGGTTAAAACCTTATAGAATCTTGCAAACAGGTAAGAAGCCTTGGGGTGATCTTCAGAGTCTATTTCACAGATACACTCCATTAAACAATATGGTTTTTAAGAACTATAAGAATATTTTCCATAGTGGCCTCATGGGGAGCCTAAGAGAAAGGGTTGTTGCCAAGAGTTTTGTGGGTATGGGTTGTTTTGTTTTGTTTTGTTTTGTTTTGTTTTGTTTTGTTTTCTAAATGAGTTGGGTTCATAAGCAGATACACAGGAAACCTGCCAAGTTCTTTTAAAGATTGTATCAGCCTTCATAAAAAAGCTAGATAAGAGCTCTTTGACCCTTGAACTACTATGGGCAGGAAACCAGCTAAGGAAACTACTCAGTGGCAAATAGCAGCCGCTTCTTGTAGAAAAGCAAGGACGATTCAGAGAAATGCAAAAGAACTTCCAGGCAGCAGGATGGAGTCCAGTCAAAGAACTATGGACATGTCATGCTCACGTTCAAAACTGGTACACACCAGTGGCTGCTGGGTGCTTCCTGTTTCCCCTTATCAAATGGGTCTGCTGTTACTTAGTGACTGTCCACAACAATCTACCGAATGGGGAAAAGAGAAGCACAAAACCTGTCTGCAGTTCTGCGTGGTGGGAGGAACTACACCCCACAAACTGCAGGGAAAGAGGGCCGGACCTAAAGGGTGAGGTCCTGGGCTTCTAGCCAACACCATATTTGGGTGTTGGTCTTACAGAAAGGGGTGAGTATGTGTTTCACACTGGGGGAATTTGTTATGATGGCCAGATGTTGAACTGTGACAGATTGTCGTTTCTCACAATTTGACATGCTTCTCATTGAGGTATAGAATCTGCCATGGAAGTTGGGCTTGAAATTCTAACACTGTTTGACTTCCAACCTGTGTGACTTGTTTTAAAAAGGAGATATATATCTAGATAGGTAAGTAGATAGATGGGTGAATGGATAGATACACAGAGAGGCAGATAAATGATAGATAATCTTCTATCTGATTCCCTTTGGGACTCTGGCTCTTGAAACCAAGACATATACTGGGAGGAAATTTCATCAGCCAGATGGAGAGGCCATATATGGCTATTTTGGCTAATGGCCTCCACTGGGGTCCCAGGGGACAGCCACCACCAAAGATGCCTGGTGAGCAGGTGAGCAGCTTTTAGCCCTCAGTTGCTGAGTCGCTCAGCCCTTCAATCTGCCATGCTGAAACCCACACATGATGGCATGGAGATGACCACTATCCTCATCTCATGATCCACCAAAATCCATGGGTAGAATGCAAGGTTTTTTAACTTAAATTTAAGATGCCCTGTTACAGAGTCATGAAGTTGAACGTGTATGAAGTGTCGCCCAGCACAGCAGTCAAACCTCAAACTCTGTGGAGACGCCTGGACTGTAGCTCCTATTCCATCCTTTACCAGCCAGGTGGCTGCCAGCAAGCTCCCTAGATTGTTATTGCTGCCTCGTGGGCTATTACAGGGAACTAAAGGGATGGCGCATAAAATACAACACAGAAGCACACGACAGAGTAAACATTTGCTAAGTGCCTGGCACCTGTGATTATTTCTCATCCATGCCTTTATCACTGCACTTACCATCAAAATTGTCTGTGAGCCTGTCTCTCCCATAGGACCATGACTGTTTCCATACCAGGAACTTTGTCTTGTTCACTGGTTCAGCTTTTTATCTGGCCCGGTAAGCTCGGTGCATCTTTTTAAATCTGAAATAGCCAGGCAGGAGGTAGGAGAGGGAGACAGGAAGAAGTTAAAAGAATTAAGATGTGTCATACACAGGCACCAACCTCCCAGGATGAATGCAACGACTGTGTGCTACAAACGTGTACTTTAAAATTTAGAAACAAATAAATAAAATCTGTAATGTTAGGACACAAGTTCAAAAGGAAGGATGACCTCAAGTTCAAGCCCAGTGTGGCCTACACAGTGAGACCCTGCCTCAAAGAAAGAGAAAGAAAGAAAAAAAGAAAGAAAGGGAGGGAGGGAGGGAGGGAGGGAGGGAGGAAGAAAGAAAGAAAGAAAGAAAGAAAGAAAGAAAGAAAGAAAGAAAGAAAGAAAGAAAGAAAGAAAGATGTGTGTGAAGTACTTGGTAAATAGCATTGTGTTACCAAAGGTACAGTATAATTAAATCTCATTAACTTCAGATTTGACATAGAGTAATTTTGTGGTCAAGCATTTTCACACATATGTCAAAAGTCACCTTCTTAACAAAGCAATAAAATGTTATTTTCATTTTACAAGTAAAGAAATTGAGACCCTGGTAAGTTAAGGACTAGTTCTATGTCGGCAATGTGGGCTCAGATTCACCAGCACCGGGGAATCCGCCCGCACACCCCAGACAGGGCTGAGCCCTCCTGATCCCCATGTGTCCCCATAAGGGGAAAATGTTCATTTGCTGAAGAGTCAAAGTCTGAGATGGCGTGGCTGAATACAGAGGGCGACTGCTACTGTTCTGTAAAACCTACCATGACAACATATGAGAACTGGCTTTTCTTACAAGCTTTAGAAACTCCCAAAATAATAAGAGATCCAGCAAGGCTTCTAACAACTTTAGTTTCCATACTTCACCAGGAAGGGGAACACTTAGATGAGTGTATCGCATTACAGTCAGGCAGCATATCTTCCACCATGACGCCTGGCCCACAGAGAATACGAACTTGGGAAAAATATTTTACAGTCTATACCAACAGCACCAAAAGCAGGTGGAAGGCCCTGAGCAATCAGCAAGGAAAATATTCTCAACAACTTGTTAACTTACTTCGTATTCAATGAGTTGTCTCGCCAGTCCCTTAAGTAGTAAATCTATCAAGAAAGTGATGTTCGAAATATATTCAAAATTACATTTTATGGAGGAGGGAGGAGAGGGAGACTGTGATCAATTTAAGCAAGGGTGTTATTTTTTCCACACTGTTTCCAACTAGAGAACTATTTATATAAAAGGAAGCCTAAATATTTTTTCAGTACTTAGAAGAAAAATATTATGACTAAGTATGAAAAGGCTGGATAGCAAGCTTCCAAGAAAGCAATCCCTTCTCTCAAATAAAATGAGTTTTAATGAGAAAACTTCTGTTCATAAAGTGTTAGCCTCCAGATAATTTTGAAATGCTAGAAATAAATTTTTAAAATATAGTTTAATCGTTCTTCACTGACTCACTCCACAAATATTTAGAGAGTGGGTGCTGATGGCAAGCACAACCCTGGTTGCTGGGAATACAAGAACAAGTTCTAAAAACATCGCGTGTGCCTTCGGTTCACAGGCTAATTGGGAAGACAAACTCAGCCACGATTGCTAAGTGTCAGAGGACTTGCAAGGGAAAGCAGGGTGGTCAGATCATCTAATAAGAGAACATACAAATCGAGCCTCCGGGAGGATTTGGACATTTCCTCCAAACGGCGAAAGTTGAATTCAGATCAGAAGGATAGCGTATTAGTTTTCAAGTGTTGTCATAACAAATCACCTTGGGCTGTCTTAAAACAACAGAAATGTATTCTCTCTCAGTTCTGAGGTTGGAGGTCCAGAATCCAGGCACTGGCAGAACTGTGCTCCTGCTGAGATTCTGAATAGGATCTTCCTCACCTTTTCCCAGCTTCTGATGGTGACTTCAAATCCTCAGACGCACCACTCTACTCTCTGCTTCTAATGTCACCTGCTGTTTTCTCTGTGTGTCTCTCAGGCCTTCTCCCAGGGACACCAGTCATACCAGATTAAAGGCTCACTGTACACAAATGATCTCATCTCAACTGAGAACATGCACAGTGATCCTGTTTCCAAATAAGATGATGTTCTGAAGTCCTAGGTCAACATTTCTTTTCAGGGACACAACTCAGCCACTGGAGGTTACCAATCAGCAGAGAAAAGGGCACATCAAAGGCCCTATGGAAGGAAGGACAGCAGGACATCTGAGGGACAGAAATCAGGGCGCATGACCCTCTGTGGCCTCCCTCTCTGCTTATCCTGGCACACTGACCTTTCCTCCTGTCCACTTATCAGAACCGTGATGGTGGCTGCCTTAATGAGAATCAGCACGTAAGCCACGCACTGATGCTCCCAACCGGGTTCCTGAGATTCTCCCTGACAAACCCTCAAGGACTCCGCACAGTGGTTTCCTAGACATTATTTCTCTCAGCAATCACAACTGAATTAATAGCTTCACCGTAATTTAAAACAGTTTGCCTTTCACTCCCTCAGTCCTGGGGGATTTTGCATGTAGTTTGAAGTCTTGGAATAAATTACTAAACCAAGCCCTCATTTTAAAAAATAAATAAATAAACAGAGAAAAACACCTTGATGGTCTCTTTCATGGCACAAAACAAGCCAGTTCCCAGAAGGCTGCATGGGAATGAGCTTCTGCCTTTGTTTTCAAGGCCAGCCCACATCCTGACGTTGTGGTCAGTTGTTCTTTGAACCCAAATCAACCCTGATGCCAGTTGTGAGACCACAAATCAATATGCAAAGCCTGGTCAGGCGGTTCCTGTAAACCCGTCATTTGCGCACAATATTTAGAGTTGCAACAGATCCCGAAGGATAGGGAAACTACAGTTTATGCTGGGCTAAATGAACAGTGCCAGAGTAGCAAAGAAACCCTGGACCAGTACTGAAGAGCTGGATCCAATTTGGACCTCTGGTCCTGGGGAGGGAGGGGTGAGTCCCCATGTGCAGAAGTGTTTTGCTTTTTTCCCAGATTTACTTTGAAAAAGGTTCATCCAAGAAGTTACAGGGGACCCTGAGAACATCACATCTCAGATCAGCTTCTCCTGGAATACAGCACAAGCAGCTTGAAATCCATCCAGTAATGTGTGTGTGTCCCATTCACAATCCTTTTCTGATTTCCCAGAGCAGAGTCACCTAAAGCATCAGGACAGTTTGTTGTTCATACAAAGTTGAAAACTAAACTCTCCCTGCCTGGGTCTAGCACTTACAGCTCTGAGAGCAGGGCTGGCCACTGCAGTGTGAAGAACACACACCAACATCAGGTCCCCGTGCTCTCCTCCCCGCATGTTCTGATGGCACAAGCCTGACATCCCAGCACTCTGGGAGGCTGAGCAGGAGGATTCCAAGTCTGAGCCCAGCCCAGACAATTTGAGAGAACTTGGCTCAGAATAAAAAACAAATAAATAAAAGGGCTGGGGATGTAGTTCACTGCAAAGGCCTGGGGTTCAATCTCCAGTACTAAGTAAATACATACACTTCTGGGCTCTTGCATTCTAAACTGCAGTTTCCCTAGAATTGCTCCTTACTAGGTAAGAAGCTGGTAGGGAACAGCTATCAGGTTGGGGGATGAAGTTAGAATATTATCTTGGAAAAACACTTGAAAGGTAGCAGCTTTCTTTGTGACCCTGCTTACCAGACACTATTTGGCTACAGGAAAATGATCAAATCGTTTTGGGACTCAAGACTCCTTTTGGTAATGGAGTGTGCCACGTGCCCTGGGTACTTCACAGGGTTATTGACAGGATAGAGTGCATGAGTTATGGGAAAATACTTTGGAAATGGTAACGGGGCTATGAATATTGAGGGTCTGATTATTGATTTCATTACTTCCAGACACCTCTCGGAAATCACTCTCCCTGACTCTCAGCCTCCACTCTTTCAGGAGGAGGGAGAACATCCCTGTGACCCCACGGGGTTCAGCCCACCACCTCCTCTCCTCCACCATCAGGCACTCTCACCCTCACCTGCAAATTTCAGCCCAGCGCTCTCAACCCAAACTGCACATTGGAGTTAGGGAGGCAGTATTGCCGTGCCTGCACCACCACCTGAAAGCTTGCATTCCATTGTCCCGGGTAGTCGATAATTCATAGCTTTAAAAACACTCCTGGTGACTCTAATTGGCAGCCGTGATTCTTGTTTCAATCATCATTTTGGAAGCTCACGATCTAAAATCACAATAATAATAAATATTTATTGAGCATTTACAGCATACAAGCCTTTATGGATTTAAAGGCACCGTCTCAGTTCTTTCTCACGTGTACCCTCTGACCCAAGTGCTTTTACCAGCCCCCTCTGCAGAGAGCTTAGGAACCTGACGGCCTAATCTTCAGCAGCAGAAAGGTGCAAGATTCAGATGTGGCTCCATCCACTGAAGCCATGACGTTGGTAAGTGACTTAGGAGGCAAACTTAGAAATCTGACTTTAATTGGAAAAAGAGAGCAGGTGGAGGAACTTGTCATGCTAAATGGCATCTTAAAACTCAGAAGCCTTGTGAGGCAGCCCAGAGTAATTTTTTTTTCTTTCTCATATCTCAAAGGTATGTTTGACCCTGGAATATATTAAAATTCGAGGTTTAATTTAATTTTATATTGCATTCCTTAAAGCAGTGTTATCTCACTCTCAGATTCCATAGTCCAAACAGAAGTATAAATGAGGAGGTTTAGGAGAAGGAAGGGGACTGGGGACTTGCAGATCGTGTGTGGTTGAGGGACACATTTCTCCTTCCCTCTTCCCTCCCTGCCAATCAGCCGCAGCACTAACGCTGAGACCGTCCAAAGCTGTGGAGTCTGTATTCTGTGTTGAGTTAGAACGCAGCTCATTCCCATGAAAACGTTCAGGTTCGGGTTTTTCCCAGTTGTGCTCAGAGTCCTGGGGTTCCCTGGGGCCATCCCAGGGGAAAGTACTTGGAGGAGAGGGGGCTAGGTTGAGCTCTCCATCACCCTGTGGTCAGAGCCACTCAGCTTTCACATCCTCAACCTCTTAAACCTCACGTAAGCTTTGGTTTGAACAATGAGCTGTTCCCACACTTAAATGCAAAAATTTGAAAACCACTGTCCTAGGCTGCAATTCAGACCCTATAGGAAAATACCAATTTTCAAAGAATGGGATTGGAACAAAAGCAAACAAACCCTACACCTCTCCTGGGTCCATCTGTATGATTCTGAAAGCACTACCAGGTCTTACCATGGAAGCAATGGGGAACAAATGCTCTGGTTCACGGTCACAGCACCAGCACCTGGACTGCTTGCCTCTCCGCATACATCACTTGCACATAGCTGAGCCATTCAATCTGCTCTCTACAGACTTTGAGGTGCTGCTTAGAGAAGGATCTGAAAGGACCTAGGCATCCCCCACCCCCTGGCTCCCGAGTCTTCTGTGCATAAAATTTCCCCATTATGCTTAAAGTGGGAATTTTAAGAGTATTTTAAAATAACATTTATGTCATTTTCTGATTACAAAAATAATATTTGGATAGGTAGCTGACTTCATTCTGCTCCTGCCTGCTGCTCAGCTCTCTGAAACTAGGATTCACAAAGCCTTCTTTCTTGCTTAAAATGAAACGAGAAGGAAAAATTATAGGGAGAAAAACATAAATTACAATTTCAATGAATTGACTTGCTAAGAAAGGTTTTTTGTTTCTAGGGAGGAGGGAACTGAGCTGTGCACATGTCCCAAATATTTCCTCACTTCAGTAAAAACTTCTGAAGAGCATCATTCTGTGGCTGCTTGATCTATGTGTTGTATTAGCAGATGGCATTTGGTTTAATCCTTCCTCTATGATAGAGCACTAAGACTGTTTTCGCTTTCATGTTGTGATAAATGACATGGCCATGAACATCTCTGAGTAAAACATTGGCCAGCACATCAGGTTATTCCCTTTGGATGAGTAACACTACGCAGCTATAATATATTTTTTCACCCCATATTCTAATAAAATATCCCTGCCTCCTCTCCCCTGTCTTTAGCTCTGCCATGTTCTCCTCTTCTTCGGGACCTTTATTCTTGGTGCCTTTAACAATTCCTGGATATGCCCCGGCCTCTGTCCTGTTACACTGTCAAAGACTCTCCTGGGGATTCTCCTTTCATCCGGTCACGGCAAGTGTCCTGGCCATAGATCTGAGCTCCTAGTCAGGTTAGGGCTCTTATTGCTGCTGCAAGTTCTTAGCACCTTCCACCCCACCGTATTTTATGGGCCGTTCCCCAGGATTCTCCATGTGTAACTTGGCTCTTACGCTCTCCTCTACTTCTAATACCCGTGTGTTTTCAAAGCACATATTAAAGCAGGCGGAAAACAGCCCTCATAACACAAACTCAATCTTTTTCCATGGGAAATCCTTTATGCTTAGAGAGAAAGCATGGCTTTGCGTACCTCTTTTAGATCAGAGTTTCACTGGGGAATGTGGCAGAGTTGCTGAAATTTGCACTCATTAGCATCTGAGTTGTAGTTAAACACCTTTATATATTCGGTGCTTGAGCAAAATAAGCCCACAGGTCTGTTTCTGCCATCTCCCTGTGGCTACATTAAAAGAAGCCAAATTTTAAGTCTTTGGAAACACAAAGAGGTCTCAAACATATCCAAGTGTCTTCATGTCTTCATGATTTCATTATTTACTTTGGCACTTATAGGCTGAAATAAAAATTTAAAGGTCAGCATCCTTCAGAAATGCCCACGGGGGCACCCAGCCCCAAGCACGGCTCAGTGGCCACCATTCCCACATGGCTTCCCCTCCGTTCTGCCTTCCTTTGTAGCAGGAGGGCTTACCTGAGGCCACAGCAGCAACAGTGGTTTAGTGTGGACCCCGTGAAGCCCACCTGATGGCACTCAGCAAAGAGAGTTCTAGACAAAAGTCAGTGCTGCTTGGCTCTGCTCTGCCTCCCTCACAGTCTTCCCCGCCCGTGCACGTCTCCGGTAAGATTACACAGGCCATCCACCCAGGGAAATCAAGGCTATTTGAAAAGCAGCCTTTCTCTTCCTGCAGCAGACTCCACAGCATCCATTTAATCAGAAAATGAGCCTGATCTGGGATGCGATTTGGCCCAACACA